TATGGTCTCAATTCTGCATTCACTGAAGTCAATGTCAAAACTCCCATTGACTTTAAAGGGTGCAGGATCAGGCCTTGAAAGAGTTTTCAATGAATATTACCCCTATGGAAAAGTCCTATGCAATTTAATAGGGGTGAAGCCAACAGGGTTTTACATAGGTTTTTAGAGTAACTTCTAGAATTTAACAAAATAATAAATTCCTTTTTCTAGGTTGTTTGAACCATACTATATAGTTCTATATCAGGGATACAAGTCTTATAACATTGTCGGAGATGGTTAAAAAACAAGAAAAGTTACAGAATTTAATGGAAAATAGGACTTATCCTCAAGGGTAGAAAACATTTCCCAAAAGCATATTTTGAACTTGTAATCAGGAGTTCTCATGCCAGAAACCTGATTCTAAAGCTTACACTCCTAATTAAAATTATTCATTCCTCAGCTTACAGAAGTTGTTGATAAGGTGTACTCAGTTTTAGATAAGAAAAAAATAGTAGTTTTTCCTGGCTAATACAACATGTGGAGTACATGGAGTATAGTGTGATACAGAGGTTTTATCTGCATGAATCAGTGAGGCTGCATTACTCACAAGAGCAAAAGCCATAAAGGAGGTCATTCCAAGTTCACGTCGATAAAAATCTTTAACAGCATATCACACAGTCACCTATCCTGAATGTGCTACACATGTTATAGAAAAAAAATGTTTTGAAAATTGCAATGTTTTTAATCCCTCCAAATGTAAATCCAGACTCCATTACTAACTGCATTCCTTCTGAGTTCTGCACAGTTGAAACAGAAAATGACTACATATAACATTGCATATTTAAAAGTCAGATGTCAGGTCTTTCATGGGCTAGCGTAAGCACTAGGAATCTTCTCTAATAATTGGTACAGCACTTCCATTTCTAGGCCTGAAGTGTTGTTGTAAGATACCAGATCACAAACCTCTTAACTCAGCAAGGATGGACTATTACCAATTCAGTAGTGTAATTATTTTCAGCAGGAGGAGGGGAGTGAAGCCAGAAGAACACTATTTCTGTGACAACTGGACTTTTAAATATGATAGCTGATTTAAGGACATGTCTACAATGCCCGGAAGTTCAGACTCAGGGGGATGTGAATAGAAGTGCACACCAACCTGTGCTGTAACTTCCCCATGTAGATGCTGCGGGTGTGAATTTAAAGGTCAAAGATGCTGATTTGAAACATCAGAATAAGTATCAGGTACACAGAATGGTGGGCAAAACAAGTAGCATGGTAAATATAGTGTATCACATGATATCACCAAGTGTGAATATCATATATTCCTTACAGAAAATATGTCAATAATCCTGTTTTTTGTAACTACTTATCCCAGAGGTTGTTAAACCTCTAATTTTTTTTTTTTTTTAAAATATATGAGTTACAGTCCCTCGGCCCGCGCCGCTTCCAGCAGCTCCCATTGGCCTGGAGCAGCGAATCGTGGGAGCCGCGATCAGCCGGACCTGTGGACGCGGCAGGTAAACAAACCGGCCCGGCCCGCCAGGGGCTTTCCCTATACAAGCGGCGTCCCAAGTTTGGGAAACACTGTCCCAGGCTAATCCCACCTACTATAGAGGTGGTCCCTAAGACGACTTATGGTTTAAGGCAGTGGTTCTCAACGCACCGCCCACGGGCTGCATGCAGCCCAATTAGCCCACAGCTGCAGCCCAGCTGTGCGTTAAAAAAAAAATTCTAAATTTTCTGCTCTGGTCTGGCTGGTCTTGCTAAAGGGGAGACAGGGTCTTGCAGCCTGCACCAGCGCTCCTGCCAGCAGGAGGCTAGCGAGTGCCGCAGTGGGGCAGAGGGCAGGAGAGTGGGTCTGTGGATAGGTTGGGGGGGGGGGGGCGGTCTGGGAACTACGGATTTGCCCGAGGTTTTAGGTGAGGTTCCTTTCCTGGGCCCCCTTCTCGGGTCTTGGCTGCTGGCCCCCTGGGTGCCCCGCTCCTTGCCCAGCTGCTGGGGGTCCCGGCTGCTGGCTGGCCATGGGTCCCGACCCCACGTTGTGGCAGTGGGGTCCGGCTGTTCGGTCCATGCTCAGGGCTCCACTCCTGGCCCCGCCCTGGACAGGGGCGCTGGGCATAGGGGACTGTGGGCAGTTTCAGGGTGGGGGATGCCATGGTTCTCAACCGGCAGCCCACAATGATAAACAGGTTGAGGACCACTGGTTTAAGGGATAATACCAACTGCATATCATGGGGACAGATTCTGCCAACCTTATTTACTTTTAGGACTTTAATAGGACTATTTTGAGTCAGGTTCTATTCAAGGTGAGCAAGGCTGGCAGAATCTTATCCAAAATTTGGAGGGTCTAGGAAGCCAAGCTACTAAAACAGTGACAGAACTAAACTGCAGCTGTATTAGTTTATTCTGGCACATGGTAGGATTATGTCCTCTTCATAAGAGTTAAATACCCACTTGGAAGTAGAGACAAAATCCTCTCTTCTCCCGGCAGATCAGGCAAAATCCAGCATATAGGGACAAGACACATTTGTCTAAGGAAAGCTTTACCCAACCATAGCCTATCCACTAACCAATGAGGAGCTGCAAATGTAAGGCTAGTATATGGTACAGTAAAAAATCCTCTTCCTCCTCAATGGATGACACTGTTCCGAAAGACTTAATCCCAACAGGTGTTCAGTATCCTCAACTCCTATTAAATTAAATGGCAGTGGATGGCACTCATCACCTTGCAGGATCGTGCCCTTTATTTTCAAGAGTGAGCAGTGCTCTATTTAAGCCAACCCCAGCTCCTGAGCAAAGAGCAGATAGTTTCCTTCTTAAGGAGAGAGATTTTGACTAAAGTGATCTATCCTATTAGCGGGCCACGTTTAGACTTAGTTAACTAAAATACTCTGTGGTTTCAGAGTAAACCAACAGCATTTTTCTAATAATAGGCGTATGGGATAAACAAAATCTAGTTTCAGAAGAACTCACATGTAGTTGGGCCAAGTTAAAAGTCAAACAATTCAATCGGCCACAAAGCTTTTCTCAGAAAACTGCCTCAATGACTGCAAGTCTGTACTGCTGAATAGAGGCCTTTATTGCTGAAGTGCCAAGTTAGCTTTGCTTGGATTTAAAATTGTATGGCAAGCAAAGGTGGAATGTGAAAAAGGGAATGTTTTCTGTATAACAGAAGAAAGTGAACATGAAGAACACAGAGAAATAAGTGTTAAGAAATTTGCCTGTGTTCATAAAGTTAAGACATATGGAAGTCAAAAAATAACATTAAAAAATCCCCCACAGTTTCTATAATAAATTATCTATCCAATTGTTCAGGCCCAATATAGTGAATGAAACCCAACAATATTAAGATTTACCAATAATTACATTAGAACTATTGGCCTGACTCAGTTCTAATATAATCATGCGTAGAAAAAACTATAAACTCTATGGCAAAGATCTATAGCAGTTCTAGAATTAATAGAGTAATCTAGTCTGGGATCCAATCCTTGTTCACTTCTATGGAAAATTCAATGTCACTCCATAGATAATAAATTTAATACTGGATTATAAGAGAAAAACAAATTTTATTTCCTAAAGATTAAAATGCAACAAAAGAGAATTGAATTTAAGGTAGAAACCGTTTACCTGCCTTAATAAAATTCCACTTTAATGTTACATGCCCTACTGCACATCTTCTGTCAACGGTGAGTATTTTTGGTTTTGAGTCACCATCAGGGCCTTGTCATGTGAAGGGCTGAGCTACTTTAACTTCCCTTTATTTTAAATGGGTGTTGAAGTTTGGCCTCTTGCAGAATTTAGCTTTGGAAGTGGTATGTAGTTCCCATGATTAGGTACCATGGGTATTTGTGAGAAAACTTCCAGTTCAACCATGACAAATAGAATTAAACATATACTCTGCATTTCATTAAGAACTTATAATTGGTACCATAATGAGAACCTTATACGAGTTCTGTGGTGGTAAGATAAAGGATGATGTTATCATTCCCAGTGGAAGTTCTGTAGATTTTCAACTGGTTCCAGTTGGCAACTAGGTTTTGGAACAATGCAACATGTCTACTGGGCTACAGGCCCTTCAGTAGCAGCCAGCAGAAATCAAAAGTGACCACCCTGAAGGATCCTAATGGTGTCTACTGGAGTTTCCATTAGGGATGAGAGTTCCATATGTAACTTCCTCACATGAGAGCATTACCATCCACAATTTAAGGTGATACTATCCTGACTTCAAAGCAATTTTATTTCAGCCACTTAAATTTGAAGAGAGGGATCTGACCCTGAAGGCACTTCACGCCTGGAACCACTATGGGCGACAATGGGAGTTTAGTGGGCAGTGTATTTGCAGGCAGAGCCCTGCAGCAGGACTGGGATCCCGCAGGACCCACTGCCATAATAGTGGGAGCAGGAAAAATGTACTTTGTTGCAGGTGGGATTGGGGGGTGAGGGGAAACAGACTGCAGTAATTTTCAGAAAACACACTAAATCTCTTGTCAGTTTGTCATAAATAGAATTTCAGCAATGTAAAGCCATATTTTTTAAATAAAGGTTTTAATACTTAAATGTAAGCGAGAGATATAATAAACATCAACTCTCTTTCTAACAGAAGAGTAAGTATTTTTTACATGGTTTAAGCAAGATTTGTTTTATTCTTTTAGTGGTGAAAATTGTGTCCGAATTCCATTTATATATAAAATCAACTGTGGGGTTTTGGGGGGATTTTTTAGTGTAACATGGGGAAATCTGTCTCTTGCAGGATTTGTGGGATATAAGGTTTTTGCAAGTGGGAACAGAAGGGAGTGGGTATTGCAGGGCGGGACAGGAGTGGGATTAAAAAATAGTCCCGCGCAGGGCTCTACTTGCAGAATTGGACCCTAACTCAGTCAAATTCAGAAGAGCTGATCAACCTACATACAACTGCCAAAACACTTTATTTCTAAGTTTCAAAAGTCATTTACACATACTGATAAAATATAGTAGCACTGTACATTCCCATATTAATTGTAAGAGATAAAATCATTACATACCTTGATATATTTGCAATTAAATGACCTTTCATTCCATATCTATAGAACAGAACATAAAAAGCAATTTCAAAAATAAACGTATTAGTCTGAAGAGTAAAATTAATCACATCAATACAAAAAAGAAAAAGTTTTAATCTGTAAAATTATACAGCCACTATTGTAACTGAATTCTGTGGCTTCAGATTCTTGTGTAAGGAGAGAGCAACTCCACTTGTTTTTGTCATTGGCTCTAAAGGTGGCAGCTTTAAATAAAGTTCAAAGGCCCCTAGACATAACTACCTACCTTCCTTCTGAAAAGGAATAACTTGCCTATTAGTAGGTTTCTACATTTACACAAGCCTATGACTGCAGATTTGAACTTGCACGTTCTAACGTTACCGGACTGATTTCAGAAGTCCCATCAAAACACATGCATTGAAAAGGCTTCTGAAGTTCCTCATATATTAAGAAAACAATTGATGGTATCTAATCTGTACCACATCTTCTGCAAGAAGAGGTGGCTATGAAACCGTTAAAACAGCTAACTGGCAATGAGTTTCTCTTGCTCAATACAGTCTTCGCTATTTCCCCATTTTTAAGACATCATAACCAAAGGGTTCTACCACACAAAATATCACCAAGAGCATATAGTCTACAGAAATGAAGCTTCCACTTAGAAATATTTCCATCAACTTTATAAAGGTCAAACAGTGTTTACTGTACAATATATAATGCTGAAGCCAAACACAGCATAACTCAAATAATTATGGGAAATTTAGACACCAAGAGCTCCATGCTATTCGCAGGGAAGTGAATATTCCAAAGGCAAAACAGAAATAAAACTGCCCTTCAGAAATATCATCCTCATTTACTGACCATGGGGGATATAAAAATCTACCCAGGCAGAAAGGACTTAACAATATCCAGGGGTGGAAATAGCCTCCAGCTGAGGCAAACAAATCAGATAACACATTCTCTGTGCTGCTGAAAGGTGTGTGTGTGAACTCTGGGGTCCATGGACTGCAGTTTCAGAATTCCAAACTAGGTTTCCACCCCTTCATATTTAACAAGTTGAGCACACTGCTACAGCTTCAAAATAGTCAGTGGACCAAGTTCAGTCCTGTAACATGTGGGTGAAATTCCACTGAAATCAGAGGCAAAGTCCCCAGATCTCAGGTGATCTGCCACTTTCCTTCATTCTAGCTATAAGAAAGAATCTGTTTAAATAAGAAAACAAACAGCACAGTCCCTCTACTCTCTTACAGACACATGCACCTCAGGATCACGTTGTTTATCACAAGCTAAGGGAGAAGTTGTATGTTGTTGCTCCTTTGCAAAATATTGTCAGCACATCACTGCATTACATAGGTCAGGGATCGGCAACCTTTGGCATGGGGCTCGCCAGGGTAAGCCGCGTGCCAAAGGTTGCCGGTCCCTGACATAGGTCATATAACCTAGGTTTGGAAAGTTCTCAAACCTCACTTAACACATTTTGAGTTACTATCTATGAACTTCAAACTGAACAAGACAAAGTCAGACATTCATTTTATACAGTTTAGAGTACAGAACCCTCAAATATTGAAAATCAGCATTGCATCCACTAAGGCCTTGGCTACACCGGCGGTGTACAGTGCTGCAACTTGCTGCGCTCAGGGGGGTGAAAAAACACCCCCCTGAGCGCAGCGAGTACAGCGCTGTAAAGCATCAGTGTAATCAGAGCCTGCAGCGCTGCACGCTCGCTCACAGTGCTGCAAGCTATTCCCCTCGGAGAGGTGGAGTACATACAGCGCTGCGAGAGCTCTCTCGCAGCACTGGCGGCGCGACTACACTCGCGCTTCACAGCGCTGCCGCGGCAGCACTGTGAAGCCCCGAGTGAAGCCAAGGCCTAAGAATAGCAAAACAAAGCCAGCCCATGTGACTTCTGCCTGCTCCACCAGAAACCAGAGGCAAACAAAGCTCTGGATATGGAATGATTTGTTAACTGGCTGCCACAGAGTGATTGGGAGATGGGAGAGGAGAATCAAAATCAGGGACTAACAAAGAACAACTATGAAACAGACAAACAAACAAACAGAAATTTGAGATGTGTACTTTACTGACCCCAATATAATCAATGTCCAAATTGTGATACTGCTTGGCACCTAGAATCCAGGAAACAATATAGTAAACAGTGACATCCGGATGATTATAGGGCCAGTTCTGACCCCTCCCTATCCATCCAGGAAATGCCCAAGGTAACCCTACAAAGAGAAAAATCAAAAGAGAAGGACAGTTAATTAGGCGCACTGCATACATCAGTCAGAAACAAGAGCAAGCCACCGCCTATATTAACTGAAAGATGCAAGGAAAGAGCCTCACTGCAAATCAGTGTAGTTCCATTGACTTCAATGAAATTATGCTTCATTTACACTAGCTGAGAATCTAGCACAAGCTGTACATCCTTAGTGAAATCTTTTCACCTAAGAATCTATCTTTAGGCAATGACAATCATCTACCCAACATCTCATGCTTGACTGGCTCAAATGATGAGTTACATCGAGTAAAAAAATAAATAATAATAATAATAATTAAACCCACTATTCTTGAACTGCAGGATCAAGCAATCCATTCTGTTGTATCTCAACACAAGAGTCTGATCCTGCTCACCATAGGCTTTTAGCCCACTGCAGTGAATGGGACTAATCTCTCAAGTAAGGCAAGCAGGATTTGGTCCTATTTTAATTCTTGTACCATAACTGGTCTGTTTTCTTTTCAATGATTATATAAAAAAAAAATTTTAATTCTGCTTCCGAAGTTTCTGTGGGCTTTTCAGGACAGGGACTGTCTTTTACTCTATGTTTATACAACACAACGGATTTCTGATCCTCGTCTGTAGACTCTAGGTACTCCCACAGTAATCTAGTTCTTGACCCTTGCAGTGATGCACCATTAAATTTCCCTATGGGAGGAAGAGCTCCATCATTCACTCATTCTTAATATATAAAGATGGTTCTCTCCAAATATTCCTGACTATAAACTATTAAGCAACACTAAACTACAAAACAGCATAATTCATGATGTAGGCAACTTTTCCAGTCAGAACTTTGAGACAGTGCAAATGGTTCAGGGGGCAGAGAAGGCAGTGTGGTCATTACGCAGGTGAAGAAATGCACGAGAGCAAGGTATCAGAACAGGTGTGACAGTAAACCAGTGATCAAATAGGAGGGAGACAGCATAGAGATTGGTTTCCAAGAACTCAAAATGATTTCAGCCATTAAGAAGATTAAAATAGCAAATATGTTAACACTTAAAGACAATAGACTTGCTGTAAACCTGTGCTTGGAGAGATTTTCCTATGTGTATCTGTATGCAATCTTATTTCGGCAACACTTATATTGCAATACGAATGTTCATACTGAGTTTATCAAACAGGCAAACTGTATAAACTGAATAAATAGTGGAGACATAAATTACGTACACCCTCGCTATAACGAACCCCTGGGGATCCAAGCCATTTGTTTGGTATAGCTAGGGATTCGTTACAACGAGGGAGGGGGGACAGCTCTGCCACAACAAGTGATGGGGGACAGCTCTGCCGACCCTGAGGCCACAGGACCTTGGTGAGGAGAAAGAGAGCTCCTCCTCCAGCTGCTCCTGTACTTTTTAGGGGCAACTTTGGTGTGAGCATAATAGTGGTGCAGTGGCAAGGTGGACCTATCAGCTCTCCAGGAAGATTCTGTAGTTAAGGCGCTTTGATTAAGTAGATTAGAAAGTCCACAGCAACCTGCAGTAAATTTGTCAATGAAGCTTTTTACTGAATTATATTATTCATTTTCATATACAAATATAGGGTTTTTCATTATTTTGATATTAAATTCAATTTAATTTACTCTGCCTCTAAGTCTCTCATTTTCAAATTGCCATAGACTAAGAATTAACATCTTATAACTGGATTAAAGATGTGTCAGAGGGGAAGCCGGAGGTTTTGGCAACGGGGTAAGGAATTCTAGGGTCATTTGGAACATGGGAGGTGGGTTTCGAATTATGGAATTACACATGAGCTTGGTAACTCAGACACCCACTCCAAATCACTGCATTGGTTTACGTTCAGTTCAGGTTTGGAACATTTTCTTTGCAGCCATAAAAGAATAGAAACCATTTTTTAGTTTAAATGACAACTTCTAGTTTGGAACACATTTCAGTGGCAACAGATAGATTCCACAGCTGGAGACACAGGGCTCTGACTTGAATTGAACAGAACAGTGAAGGCCTCACAGAACTTGTCTACCCATTTGAGGTGAAAAATCAGAAGTCAAAGCACATTTGCTTGAGCTAGTTTTTGAAAGCATTTGATAGAAGTCTGAAGGAAATAAATAGAGTCCTGGAAGATATGAAAAGTTAGTTTATTTTGTGTAGGATTAGAAAAGATTCCTCCTAAAAAGGGTATCTGGGAAAAAGGAAGAATGAGCACGCATAATGTGGGGGATTCTTAGTCTTGAATGTATTGTCTCTAGCCTTTGGATCTCACAGTGTGACACTCTCATACTGTTTTAGTTTAGTGATTTAGGCCAAACATAAATATCACCCAGCACTGGGGAGAAGAGAAAAAAAACAAAAACAAAAAAAACCACACACACACCCCAAACACAAGGCGTTGTCACAATAAAACCTTACAAAATTCACACAATAATATTCTTTAAAAGGAGAGGTAAGGCAAATTGGAGGAACTCTGACTGTACACTGGCTAATGTGACAAAGAATACTTTGTTTCATTAACGCTAAGGAGCCAATTAAGAATGAGCCAGGTATGAAATCGTGTTTGAAAACCGGAAGACAGAACAATTGAGAAAACCCAAGCCCTTACCAATCAATTTAATGTTGGGGTTCCTCTTTTTAGCTTCTTTCATTAGCCACCACTCATAGCCCCGGAAATAATTCTCATCGTTTTCATAGTGCATGTGGGAGGGTTCAGTACCATCTACAGAGGAAACAACAAAGATATCTCACTAAATTGTTTTCTGTGTCATGACAAATTCCTGTGTATCTTAAGGGTTTTTTTAATATTGCTCATCACCATAATATCTAGGCAATTACCGCAAGCACAGTTCATGCATTCTTTGAAGTAAATTTGAAAGCAAAGTGAACAATGGAAGCCAACATGAATGACTAGCCATCCCTCCCTCTTAGAGTACATCACCTCTGCAAGCAGAGGTGTGACTGCAGCACATGTAGACATACCCCAGCTATCTTTAATCTACTTAGTGCGCGTACCGATAGCCACAGGCACCATGGGCTAGCTGCCTAAGTAAGTACCCAGAGTCCTGGGTGGGCTTCTACAGCCCACGCTGCAGCAGCTGCACTGCTATTGGTACTTATGCTAGCTAAATTAAAGCTAGTCAAGTACGTCTGCACATGTTGCAATTACACCTTTGATTGCAGTGCAGATGTTAGGCTGTGGCTATACTTACAGTGGCATGTAGAGCAGTGGTTCTCAAACTCCCTCGGCCCGCGCCGCTTCCTGCAGCCCCCATTGGCCTGGAGCGGCGAACCGCAACCAGTGGGAGCCGCAATCGGCCAAACCTGCGGACGCAGCAGGTAAACAAACCGGCCCGGCCCACCAGGGGCTTTCCCTGAACAAGCGGCGGCCCTAGTTTGAGAACCACTGATGTAGAGTATAGGCACTACACACGTAGCTACACACCGCACTGAAAGGCACTGCGGCGTGTAGCTACACATGGCAAAAGACTCCAGCAGCAGGAAAAGACTCTGGCTAACCGCTGCTAGAACCTTTCACTACAGTGAGGGAATGCTCCAGCAGGGGGGAGCTGCCATATCCTTTCCCCACAATTTTCCCTTGCTGGAGACTAACTGTGACAGGGAAAGACTCAGGCAGCGGGGAGGCAGCAAGACACTAAACCGCTGAAAATAGTAGTGTTGATAAGGGAAGCAGAGCTTGAGTGTGTAGACCATATACCCTGGGGGTTCAGTTGTGTAATGCAACACTCTACAAAGCCGCAGTTCACTATCCACACTGCTATTGACGTGCAGGATCTGTATTCTACATGCCGTATAAGTGTAGACATAGCCTATGTCTGTTGACCATGATCAAGTACAGTATCAGTTTAACATGAATATGTTTTCTGTCAAAGGGACTATGCCCTATCCTTGCAGAAGGATTGATTGATGATCTAGTCGATCTTTTATCTCCCCAATTACTGTGACGCTAAGTCTATCTTCAATATTATTTTGGGCCAAGGAATCACAGCATGAACATTATCACAATAGTATCAGGAGGAGAACAAAAAAATATTTTCACCATCATGGAAGGACTCTGAGCTGAGAAACAACAGGCAGCGTGGCACAGATTACTGCATGTTTACTTCTTGGGGGCAAGAGAAACACAAGGGGAGGAAACTTGTTATGAAACCAAGAGTTCAGTTAAAACTACATTATATCATAATAATGAAAAGTTTCCCTTTCATATAAGATTTGGACTAGTATTACTGAGGGGTTTCTCCACTGCTGGAAGAAGTTTTGGGATTCACCACATAATATTCAATTGTTTTAGCAAAAGATAAACTCAAGTTTTGTGCAGTTACACACTGACCACCACTGAACAATGCAAGTCAGATAATCGGCAAACCATTAGGATTTGAACACTTTAAAATTGTGGCAGTAATAGGGGAAGATAGTTCTCCCCATTAGAGGGATAATAGCAAATCTCATTTTTTAGAGAATGGCCAGAAACTACAGTGATGTGTGTGTTAGACATAGACTGAGTATGCAAGCACATACAGGACTGTGAGCCAAGAACTCCTGAGTTCCAGTCCTGGCTGTCACAGACCAAGGCCAAGGGCAAGTCCCTTCATCTCTGTACCTCAGTTTCCTCATCTGAAAACCAAGACACTACTTACCAGGACTAAATAGTGTTAGTACAGTATTTTCAAGATGAAGAGCTATATGTGTGTGTGTGTGTGTGTCTGTCTGTCTGTGGACACGCATGAGTCCACTTTTTCTGCCAGCAACGTACTGACTGACAATCTCTGTTGAACATCAATTAATTCCTGTCAAAAAAGTGGACTTTTAGACATCCAGGACTGTAGGTACAAGAGTATTAACGTTTAATGCCCAGAATCTAGTCAGTAATAGTCGCACTTGCACACCTCGCCAGAGCTGTCAAAAAGTATGAAAATGGAGCATTAAGACAGACAATACTCATATCAATCAAACTCAATTAACACACCACTCATCTTTATGTCACAGACACTGATTTTCTTAGGCATGTGTGACTTCCAAATAAGGAAGCAGAACAAAGAACTATCTTGTTGGAAGTAAGGTTTATATCTAGTTCACACAGCGGAGCTGACACCTGAGAAACACTAAAGCTATTCAATATTATGGCTGGAACCCTACAATACAGCTCACTAGCACGATCTCCCTGTCCATTGGGAGCAGATATTATTTTGTTCTAGAATACACCATAGCCCTGGTCTCCACTAGAGGGAGGGAAATCGATTTAAGCTACGCAACTTCAGCTACATGAATAACGTAGCTGAAGTTGATATAATTAGACCCACTCCCCACGGTGTCTTCACTGCGGTGAGTCGACTGCTGCTGCTCCCCTGTCAACTCCGCCTGCGCCTCTCATGGCGGTGGAGTACAGGAGTCGATGGGAGAGCACTCGAGGGTCGATTTATCGCATCTAGACTAGATGCGATAAATCGACCCCCCGCTGGATCAATCGCTGCCCGCAGATCCGGTGGGTAGTATAGACATACCTATACTAAGTAACGGTCTGTACCACAGTTCTTTTGTAAAAAAAGACCCTTCCCACACCAATTCGAGAAATGGTACTAGAAACCTGCTAGTAGCAAACATTTTTAGACATGGTAGTGCAGTTCCAAGTGTATCATGTAGAGTCTTGCTATTTCAAATGAGGTGAAATGTTCATCACAATGTTTATCACTAAACTGGTAGTATTTCATCTATTGCATCGCCACACCATTTGAAGTGAAGAATGATCTGCATAAAAACAGTAAGCCCAGTCCCCCAAGAATTCATACCTGTTGACTGTCCATCACCACCAATCTCTACTTTCAGAATATGCAAAGAGGCACCAAAATTTGGCTTTAAAAAAGGAGAAAAAAATATCAATGAATATAGATTCCCACTATAAGCAGAAGAATGTCCAACTAAAAAGTGCATCACCATCAACTTCGTCACATTTCTATCTGAATATTTTACCTATTATTATTACAATCACCTACGATTAATGCAAGTGAAAGATTAGAGGGAAAAGCTATTCCTCTTTTTCCAGTTTATTTATTTTGTGCAATTGAGAGTACTTGGTTTCCAGTCAGTTTCATGGTCTCTCTTGTAGTTATTAGTATGTTTTCCTGTTTGGGATCTTTAGCACAGCAAAGTTAACAAAATAGGAAGATGTCAAGGTAAAGCCAAAAAATGTGTACGGCGGTCCAGAGGCTGATGTAGGACAATACTATTTTAAGTTGCCTAGATTTCAAAGTGACCATGTTCCTTCAAAAAACTAAAAAGGTTTGCAAGTTTGAGGGTTGGTACTGATGTAATTATATCAGTTTAGACCTGGGATCTCAAACTCAAATTACCACGAAGGCCACATGAGGACTAGTACATTGGCCCGCGGGCCACATTACTGACACCTTTTCAGGGGAGCTATGGTGGGCCACAGGAAATAACTCTGCATGCGGCCCACGTGTTTGAGACCCCTGTTTAGACACGGATATAGTTAAAGTGGTACAGCCTTCTAAATGGACAGTTTTACTGGTATAAAGGTGCTTATATTCATTTATCTCAACAATTCAGAACCATAACTGATTAATTTCTGTAGTGGGTAAAGTAATTTCTACATATAAGAGGTCATATGCTACATTCCCAAATTCAGTGTAAAAGGGGCAAAAAAGACCATTTTCCAGATGACTGAGTACACAGAAGGCAAAGGCAGCTACATCATGTCTCTTCCCCGCTCCCCATCAAAAACCTCCATAGCTACTTCTCTCTCTAACACAGAAACTATGCTCTATAGGGCTGAAGCCAAGGGAACAGCTATTTGAAAGTGGCATATTGCCCTCTCAGGGCACAGCACAAGTTATTATTGAGCAACTACTACTCCTACCTGGCACTTAGGGCCTGTCTGTAGAGTTTTGGTACTGCTGTAACTAGATCAGTGCAGACATTGATATAGTTAAGTGGTACAAACCTCTAAATGGACAGCTTTACTGGTATAAAAGTGTTTTACTGGATTATCTAAAGAATTTAGAACCATAAACTTGCATCCTAGGCAAACCTTAGGATATTAATTGTATTGAAATGGAACAATCTTAACAAGCTAGAGAGCAAGGATACTCTGCAATTGCCAACTAAAATATACAGTAATTTTCAGAAGTCATGAAGTATACATACTTTTGCACTCTGATTCAATATTGCCTTCAGGATTTACTACCCACAATAATTATGACCACCTCAATCCTTCACTTTATCCACCTTTAAACTAGAAAAAAAAAACCCAACCTTCCAGTTCTAGCCCAATATCCCAAAATATTTAATCATTAGCTATTTCAGAATAGCAATAAGAGGGAATCTCAGTAATTGCTATTTCCAAAATTAAATAAACTCCCAACAGAAACAACAAGATGGTAATAACCATAATCTAGGCTAATCAAAGAGGAAGTACCCTCAAATTGTTTAGTCATTTCAGTATAATTAGTTGTTTCCTCTTAACTTAACAAGGGTGTTTACTCTTGGCAGCTACCACACCTTGGAGTAATAAGAGTTGATTGTTCAGCCTCAGAATTTAGGTCCCAGAAAAGTTATCACCACACAAACAGGACATACCTTCAAGTTACTGTATTCGTAACCATAATTAAGGCTACATTTAGGTCATGGAGGTCCTGAGACCTCCTTGACATTCTCGGCTTCAGCCCCAGGGTCTGCAGGAGTCTGGAGCTGACAGCCAGTGGGGCCCTGGCAGGGTTCCAGCCACAGGCAACATCAGCAACAAGGGGCCGCCTGCAAACTTCCAGCCACAGGTGACAAACTCCTGAGGGGGCCCTCCTTGGGGTTCCAGTAATGGGCGACAGCCTCACCGGGGGGGGGGGGGGGGGGGAGGGACGCGGGGACAAGGGGGATGCCTCAGGCGAGCAGCTGGGGTGTCCCATTGTCTCTTTTGGAAATATGGTCACCCTGCAGCTCTCAGCCACCATGGTCGGAGTGGGAACCCCACAGCTCCCAGCCATCACGTTGGTGGTGGAAAAAATGGAGCTGCAGCAGCAAAAGTCACAGATAGGTCATGGCTTCTGTGAATTTTTGTTTATTGCCTGTGACACGTCCGTGACTTTTACTAAAAGTAACCATGACAAAAATCTTAGCCTTAACCATAATATCTTGAATTTAGACAGGACTGCAAACCAAGCTGCAGAATTGGGCCAGTATTTACTGTTTTACACATAGAGACAGTTGGTCTCATTGAGGTTAAGACCTAATCCTGCAAACACTAATGAACATGCTTAACTTTACACACAAGTAGTTCCTTTGCAGTCAACAAGACTATTTACGTGCATAGAAACAAGCACATACGTAAGTGTTTGCAGGATCAGGACCTAAGTGACTTACCCAAAGTTCAGGGGGTAGCCGTGTTAATCTGTATCTACAAAAACAACAAGGAGTCTGGTGGCACCTTAAAGACTAACAGATTTATTTGGGCATAAGCTTTCATGAGTAAAAACCTCACTTCTTCGGATGCATAGAGTGAAAGTTACAGATGCAGGCATTATATACTGACACATGGAGAGCAGAGAGTTACTTCGCAAGTGGAGAACCAGTGTTGACAGGGCCAATTCAATCAGGGTTTCAATAAATCTGTTAGTCTTTAAGGTGCCACCAGACTCCTTGTTGTTTTTGTAGATACAGACTAACACGGCTACCCCCTGATACTTGACACCATGCAAGGCACTAAATTTAGCCGTATGGAGTGGAAATCCATCAACCTCAACAAAAAACTTGCACAGATACAGACAGACATCATCATCCTCTCCAAATGCAAACAGATGGACATAATACCAAATGGACTGAAGGTAAAAAATCCATTGCAATCAACATACTACACTGACTATGGTGAGAGACTGTGCCACACACTCTCAAAGAAACTGAGGAACCACCTGATCAGCATCCTGTACAGCAGACAGGAGAAGATCAAGAATGAGCTCTCAGAACTGGAGACTCTCATACAATACCAACCTTCCACACAAACTTCCATGTGGCTGGACTTTACAAAAATGAGACAAGCCATTTACAATGCACACTTCACTTCTCTGCAGAGGAAAAAGGACAGTAAGCTATCTAAACTCCTACCTGCCACAGGGGGCTACAACAGTGGTACCCTCAACTCATCTAACAACATTGTCAATCTTTCCAACCACACACATAGCCCAGCAGAAGAGTCTGTCCTATCTCGGGGACTCTCTTTCTGTCCCACCATCCCCACGAACACGATACAGGTCTGCGGTGATCTGGAAGCCTACTTTCGTCGTCTCCGACTCAAGGAATATTTTCAACGCACCACTGAACAGTGCACTGACCCACAGGAACCCTCCTACCAACACTACAAGAAGAACAACTCTGCGTGGACTCCTACTGACGGTCGAAATGACAGACTGGACCTCTACATAGAGTGCTTCCGCAGACGTGCACAGGCTGAAATTGTGGACAAACATCACTTGTCCCATAACCTCAGCCGTACAGAACGCAATGCCATCCACAGCCTCAGAAACAACTCTGACATTATCAAAGGGGCTGACAAAGGAGGTGCTGTAGTCATAATGAACAGATTGGCTGCCAGGCAACTCTCCAAGACCACATTCTACAGGCCACTATCCTCTGATCCTACTGAGGAATACCAAAAGAAAGTACACCATCTGCTCAAGAAATTCCCAGCTACAGTACGGGAACAAATCTACATGGACACACCCCCAGAACCCTGACCAGGGGTATTCTATCTGCTACCCAAGATCCTTAAACCCGGAAACCCTGGACGCCCCATCATTTCAGGCATTGGCACTCTTACAGCAGGATTATCTGGCTATTTGGACTCTCTCCTCAGACCCTACGCTACCAGCACTCCCAGCTACCTTCGAGACACCACCGACTTCCTGAGGAAACTACAATGCATTGGTGTTCTTCCTGAAAACACCATCCTGGCCACCATGGATGTAGAAGCACTTTACACCAATATTCCACATGAGGATGGACTACAAGCTGTCAGGAACAGTATCCCTGATGAGGCCATAGCAAGCCTGGTGGCTGAGCTTTGTGACTTTGTCCTCACCCACAACCACTTCAGATTTGGGGACAACTTATACCTTCAAGTCAGTGGCACTGCTATGGGTACCCGCATGGCCCCACAGTATGCCAACATTTTTATGGCTGACTTAGAACAACGCTTCCTCAGCTCTCGTCCCCTAGTGCCCCTCCTCTACTTGCGCTACATTGATGACATCTTCATCATATGGACCCACGGAAAGGAGGCTCTTGAAGAATTCCACCTGGACTTCAACAATTTCCTCCCCACCATCAACCTCAGCCTGGACCAGTCCACACAAGAGATCCACTTCCTGGACACTACAGTGCAAATAAGTGATGGCCACATAAACACCTCCCTATACCGGAAACCTACTGACCGCTATACGTACCTACTTGCCTCCAGCTTCCATCCAAGACACATCACACGATCCATTGTCTACAGCCAAGCCCTAAGATACAACCGAATTTGCTCCAACCCCTCAGACAGAGACAAACACCTAGAAGATCTTTATCAAGCATTCGTAAAACTACAATACTCACCTGGGGAAGTGCGGAAACAGATTGACAGAGCAAGACGGGTACCAAGAAATCACCTACTACAGGACAGGCCCAACAAGGACAATAACAGAACACCACTGGCCATCACATACAGCCCCCAGCTAAAACCTCTCCAGCGCATTATCCACGATCTACAGCCTATCCTGGAAAATGATCCCTCACTCTCACGGACCTTGGGAGGCAGGCCAGTCCTCGCTTACAGACAACCCCCCAACCTGAAGCAAATACTCACCAGCAACTACACACCACACCACAGAAACACCAACCCAGGAACCAATCCCTGCAGCAAACCTCGTTGCCTACTCTGTCCCCATATCTACTCTGGTGACACCATCAGAGGACCCAACCACATCAGCCACACCATCAAGGGCTCATTCACCTGCACATCCACTAATGTTATATATGCCATCATGTGCCAGCAATGCCCCTCTGCCATGTACATTGGCCAAACCGGACAGTCCCTCCGCAAAAGAATAAATGGACACAAATCGGACATCAGGAATGGTAACATACATAAGCAAGTAAGTGAACACTTCAATCTCCCTGGTCATTCTATTACAGATTTAAAAGTCACTATCATTGAACAAAAAAACTTCAGAAACAGACTTCAAAGAGAAACAGCAGAACTAAAATTCATTTGCAAATTCAACATCATTAATCTGGGCTTTAATAGGGACTGGGAGTGGCTGGCTCATTACAGAAGCAGCTTTTCCTCTCCTGGAATTGACACCTCCTCATCTATTATTGGGAGTGGAATACATCCACCCTGATTGAATTGGCCCTGTCAACACTGGTTCTCCACTTGCGAAGTAACTCCCTGCTCTCCATGTGTCAGTATATAATGCCTGCATCTGTAACTTTCATTCTATGCATCCGAAGACGTGAGGTTTTACTCACGAAAGCTTATGCCCAAATAAATCTGTTAGTCTTTAAGGTGCCACCAGACTCCTTGTTGTTTTTACCCAAAGTTAAATCACGTCAGTCAATGACGGAGCCAGAATTAGAATACAGATTTCCTAGATCAATCATCAGTAAGAATTCTGTTTATTGGGGTTTATTAATTTTATTTTGGGGGGATGGTTACTTTTAGCAATTTTTGCGGTCTACATAGATGTCCAAAAATCCAGGGGGCCGGGGGAGGGAGGATAGTTAGGGCTCTCTCTTTGTATATACTGTACTGAGTAATTTTTTGTACTGTTCCCTAGTGCACTTTCACATAGGACTATTTCAGACCGCACTATGGTAAAGTTAAATAGGAAGTCTTTAGTGCACACCAGCAGATTCTACATGTACCAATTAACATGCAGCACATTAGCATGCTTTAGAAATCACAGGCCCACAGTCTGCATTATTTCTCTATGTAGACATGTGCTTAGAGACAAAATCATTTCTGGAGTTTACTGGATAAACACTATTTCATATTTCTATATCGGGAATGTTTTGTCAGTGTTTATCAATTAGAAACCAAACATCAGAAGCCCTACTTATCAGCTAAAAGACAACAAAATATTGTTTGCAATCACAGTTATAGGTCAATTAATAAATTAGTATTAGTTAATCTTTGTATAATGCTTACAGGCCAGATTTTTAGAGGTATTTAGGTGCCTAGTAGGATTTTCAAAAGCATCTAGGTATTTAAGAACCTTTACAAATCTTGCCCTAAGTATCATCATAATTATTAACAGCATGATTTTATTTAAGCACTCCCTCTAATACTTCAGAAAATAAGGGGGTTTTATACTTTTTAACTAGCATTTGATGCATTTTAGAGAACTGCCATTAAAAATAAAAGTACACATTAAAACTCTACAGGAAGTTAGAGATATTTGTCTTACTGATATAGAACTATTACCATAAACAGATAATCTAAGATCTGAGAGCGATAAGGCTCTGGGTAATTCACCAGAAGTCGAGAGGTAGCCTGAAAAAGAACAAAGGGAAAAGAGCATATTTAGAGTTACTTTACTATTTTAAATCCAAATAAAATAATATAAAGAGCCTCCTATCTAAGGGTCTAGGCAACCTAATATAACTAACAGCACAGTCAAATCCCACCAAGAACTAAGGAATCATGTCAGCAGGAACTCAGCCAGCCAGATACCACAAAAACTCAACACCCCTTTAAGACACAAAATTTACTGTTTTATAGTAGAAAAACATTAACAAATGACTATTGTCCAGCTTTCTGCAGCAGCACTATTGTGTTATGAAGTATATATTGGGGAGTGGGAGGAGAGAATGGGATCCAGCATGGGCATGAGGAGACAGGAACATTTTCCCAAGCAAAAACCTATTTCCTACTAATGTGGTTTTCTTTCCTCTAAAAGTTTTCCCTGCTTTTCTTCCTCCTAAACCCAAGTCAGACTACATGGCCAAGCTAACTCCAGAGAGGTGCTAATTACCTATCACAGTAGAGCTTGAATGGAGCTCGTGACACTTATCATTGGACTGGAAGAAGTCCCTGGAAAATTACTGGTCATTTGGTGGTTTAAATATTTTAAAAACAATAAAGAGAACTCTTTAAAATGTAGGTCAAGAATAAAATTAATCCCAAGATTTCAACGGAGTTACACCAAAGATTCATTTGTCCTTTAGAATCTCCTATCATCCTAACTGGAAATAGACCACAACTCACACACATCCCACATCTTTTTTGCAAGAGGGAAAAGGAGAACAAGAAGCACTCTCCCACACCGTTCCTCAACCTCAAATGCTACTCTCAGCCAGGACCCGCTACTCACATTTAGGGAACCTCTCATCTCCCTCCAACACTAACTTGGTGCCATGCTTTTAGCACCTAAATTTGACTGGCAACAATATGCCCACCCCATTCCCCTCAATGCACCATCACACATGGACACATGCTCATTCTTCTGAATTTCACTACACTATTATTTTTCTTGTTTTCCTTAGATGAAACCCTTCACTCTGCATTACAAATCCGAGGGGCAGGCCTCATGCACAGACAGCACAAGAGACTGTCACCTCAGGGCAGTCCTCTTCACCCCACACAGAAGCACAATGAGTGGGTGGCCACCCAGAATTTGCCTAAGGGTCTGATCTCTCTCCAGCCCCCGTTCGTTCCCTCCCTCCCTCCAGCCCTCACACCCACCTCTGTCCCCACACCCATTAATTCCCATCTCTCTTGCCCCTCCAGCCCTCCATTCACCCCTATTCCCGCTCTATCCACCCCTGCCCCACACCTCACCCCCTCATTCCCTGCCCATCCCCGCTCACCCCTCCGCCGCTCACGGCCCCGATGCCGTCGAACTCACTGCCCAGCCCGCCCGAATCGTCCAGCGCGTAGCCGGCGGCAGCAGCCCCCGGGGGGCGAGGGCACCAGGCGCAGCCCAGCAGGGCCCAGCCCCACAGCAGAACTCGCCCGCAGGGAGCACCAGCCCGGCGAGGGGGGCCCGGGCGCCTCCCTCCAGCAGCGTCCATAGCAGCCAGCCCGTTCCTACAGCAACTCTGCTACAACCATCCGCCAGCCATTGTCATATGACCACGCCAGCCGGCGGTCACCTGACAGGGGCTAGGCCTCTCGGCGAACCGCCCCCGTCTTCCCAAAGGGGAGGGCGGGCGGAGGTCACGTGATAATGTGAGCTGAAGCTAGTGGCTGCCATGTTGTGTATGGGCACGAAAATGCCGCTGCGACGCTATGTTGGAGGTGCGGTAGAGCGAGTGCAGGCGCCGTATTAGCTTTGAGACGGAGCTTTGCGCTTAAGGGTTTCCGCCAGGGCTGTACAGAGGGGAAGATACAGGAGTGAGGCTGCAAAGCGCGGGTCCAGCCACACGTGGGAGGAGGGGGCGGTGCTTGGAGTCAAGCCTCAGGTTCAACCCAGGCCACAGATGGCGCCAGGAATTAAGTTCTGTTGCAGGTTCAGAGCCTCACGTAGTGAGACCCAGGGCCGGCTCTGGCTTAAAGCCTCCGGCCACCTCCCCCCCCCCCCGGGGGGGGGGGGGGGGGGCGCCGGAGAGGAGGGCGGCCGGAGCCCTGGGAGGAGGGCGGCGAGCCCCGGCAGGGGCTCAGCTCTCCCCCCGGCGGCCAGAGCGCAGGGCGGCGAGCCCCAGCAGGGGCTGACCAAGCCGCCAGGGTCCCTGTTCAACTGGGTGTTCCAGTCAAAAACTGGAACCTGGCAACTCTGTAGGGGTTTTAATATTTTGTGTGTATTTGCACCACCTGATACTGAAGGACTCTGTCTCCAAAGCCCTGCTGAAGCTGTCTGACGTGAACCATTGCACCACAGAGCTGGATGGAGCTGGAGGGGAAATAGCAGCCCCAAATCACTAGGGTGTAAACCATGTGCTGCCACAAAATATAATTGTAAATACACTAGACAGCACTGATGCAAGCAGCCAAGTATGCTCACACTGGAGCAATAAACTACCTTCAACAGCTGTACCCCAATGTAACATAATGACTGCTTCTTAGAGTAGCTAGTCCTGGAACCCATGGAGGCGCTTCTTGATTTAGTCCTAAGTGGTGCCTAGGATCTGGTCCAAGAGGTGAACGTAGCTGAACTGCTTGGTAATAGTGACCATGATGTAATTAAATTTAACATCCCTGGGAGTAGGGGGAATACCAAAGAAGCCAGCCACAGTAGCAGTTAACTTCAAAAAGGGCAACTACGCAAAAATGAGGAGGCTGGTTCAACAGAAATTAAAAGGAACAGTCACAAGAGTGAAATGCCTACAAGCTGCATGAAATTTTTTTTAAAAACACCATAGTAGAGGCTCAAATGAAATGTGTAATCCAAATTAAAAAAATAGAAGATTAAAAAAATGCCATCATGGCTACGCAACACAGTAAAAGCAGCAGCTAAAGGCAAAAAGGCATCCTTTAAATATTGGAAGTCAAATTCTACTCATGAAAATAGAAAGGAGCATGAACTCTGGCAATCAAGTGTAAAAGTATAAGGCCAGGTCTACACTACACACTTACTTCGGTATAACTACATTGCTCAGAGGTATGAAAAATCCACATCCTAAGGAACGTAGTTATACCGACCTTAACCCTTCCCCCCCCAGTGTAGACAGCGCTATGTTGGTGGGAGAGCTGCTGCTGGTGACATAGCTACCGCCTTTTGCAGAGGTGGAATAACTAAGCTGCCAGGAGAGCTCTCTCCCGTCATCTTACAGTATCTTCATCAAAAACAACGAGGAGTACTTGTGGCACCTTAGAGACTAATAAATGTATTTGGGCATAAGCTTTCGTGGGCTAAAACCCACTTCATCAGATGCATGGAGTGAAAAATACAGTAAACAATATATAATCTAGTACCTGAAAAGGTGGGAGTTGCCTTACCAAGTCGGGGGTCAGTGCTAACGAGACAATTAAATTAAGGTAGAAGTGGCCTATTCTCAACAGTTGACAAGAAGGGGTGAATACCAAGGGAGGGACAATTATTTTTGTAATGCTAACGAGGCCAATGCAATCAAGGTGGCCCATTTCCAACAGTCGACAAGAAGGTGTGAGTATCAGCAGAGGGAAAATTATTTTTTGTAGTGACCCAGTTGAAGAGAGCCCTTAAAGGGACAACACCCCTTTCCTGCCAGATAGCTGGACAAACGAGTTTCCCTTCCTTTACTTCTGACTATTTGATGAACTAGTTTTAAGAGAACCTTCTAGCAAAATCAGTACCTTAGTAAGATATAAAATGCTTTGTTATGCCTTAAATCTTTGGAAACATATTTTTTAAAGTTGGTGAAATTTCATAAACATGTCTATTGTTATGGAAATCACACAAAGTAAATTAGTGTTCCCCAATGAACATTGTTATGAACACACTAAACCTCTGTGACTGATTAATTTAAAATAATGTCTTTGTTTCAGTGAGTTAAATATGTAGTAATCTGGAATGATTACTTTATGAAGGTTTAAGAGTACATTTAAAATATAAAATCAGCTTAGAAATACTGATTAAGAAAATGTAAAACAGAGAAGAGCTGCATCATGTATGCCATAATATTTAATGTTGTATTCAGCAAGACAACTGACTTGCCCTTACTACAAAGTTTTTGCAAATAAATCTCTGACAAACTTCAGGGTATATCAAAAAACCCGTGACAGATATTTTTTATTCCCAAATTTAGTGCTTTTAATTAGGTACCTTCTGCATGTTCAGTCTTTACCTTCTGGCATGCACTGGAAAACATGCTCCATTTTCTTTAAAAAGAAATTGCAGAAGAGTATTTTTTTTCAAATGTCATTTGCTTCATTTGGGTTCAGGGATTTGGCTGGAAGGGGGCAATCAAGGAGGGGGAGGGAAGAGAGAAGGGAGACAGTGGGGAGAGGGCGGGGCCTGGGCAGAGTTGGGGGGGCCTGGGGCAGAGCAGGGGTGGAGTATGGGCGGGGCCACATGTGGGCTGGGGAACTAGCCTCCCCAAATGGCAGCTTCACCCACTGCCCATAATAGTAGGTAAGAGTGGGTCGGTTCCTGCACACCCAGTGCGCACTGCTGTCTCCTGAGGCAGGGGCCATATTCACAGAGCTGAATGCGTCGGCGCCGCACATTCTGCATGAGGGAGAGGGTACGAGGCTCTCTGTGGAGAACTGTGAGTCTCCGCCGCCATGAGGCAAGCCGGGCATCTCGGTATCCTTTGCTGCCTCATCCCACCCCCCCACCCCCACCCCGGGCTCAGAGCCCGGGCTGCCGTCGGGCATAGGGGCACCAGTTTAATAATATTGCATAGGGTCCCATAAATCCTAAGGACAGCCCTATCTAAGGCTACAAGATTATAGCGCCCTCTGGCAAGTAGTAGTGAGCTGGTGGCAGGGTTTTATTGGCGAGGGATACTTGGCTCTGGAATACACTTCTCACTTTGCTGTGCCAGAACCTGGATTTTGTCTTCTTCAGAGTACACTACATAACAAACTTTTTTTTCAAGGCTTTTCCAAGGGGGAGTGTGGTGGGTTAGGTGGTGTATGGTATGGTATGGGGTGCCTAGCGGATGAGAAGGTTCTCACTTCATGGGGTCTGTTTTTATTATCTACATTGGAGGATATTTAATTGCTGTACTGCCATGCACCTACAAAATATGAATAACCGAAATAGTAAACAATATTCCATAAAAGCAAGCCAAGTTTTCCACACAGATCCTACTCCAATAAAACATTCTGTATAAAGGGAAGGTCGTCAAATTGTTAATGCACTGAAATAATACTAACACTTCTTATCTGTAAATAGGACTTTACAAGAATAGTTACTCCTTTTGCAGATGGAGAAAATGGGGCATAGAGAGGTGAAAGGACTTGCCCACGATCACATAGCTAGTCAGTGTCAGATCTAGATGTAGAAAGCCAGCTCTTATCTATTTATCCACATAAGGGATGTTGCTGAGCTTACGCTAGCAACTGCTTCTGCAACTGCTTCTGCTCCTTATGCTGCTGAAGAACTGTAGTGTCTAAATGATGACTGTTTCCTGTTTGTTTGCTAATCCTTAATAACATTGAGCATGTGTATACAATTTTTTATTTTCAAAGTATTACAAACATTAATTAGTTAATCTTCCCACACCCTAGTGAGATATGTAAACCAGTATTATTAGCTCTGTTTTACAAGGGGGAGAAGGCAATAAGGAAGTTAAGTGACTGTTCAAGGCTACAAAGTGAGTCAGTGGCAGAGCCAGGATTAGACTTCCTGGCCTCCATCCATATTCAATCCACTAGACTATATAGCTTGTCACATCCTAATGCTTTTATATGAGCTGCTTAGTAATATTATTTTGCCATCATGATGAGACAGATGAAGTCAGTTGGGTAATTTTTGCTGAGCACCTAAATGAATACATCTGTGGAGGCATATTATTCTCAGTAGAAGACCCTCAACTCTGGAATGAACATCATCTCATTTGCCAATCAGAGGCCAAATCTGTTGATTTTCAGGACATGACTCAGGTCTCAATCCTGCAAGGTGCCGAGTCCCCTCACCTCTCAGTAGTTGAGGGTGCCAAGCAACTTGCAGAATCAGGACATCCAAGTCTTCTTCCTGTGCAGGCAATTATAGACAGCATTTGAAGAATCTTAATCTGGGTTGAGAATCTTGGTCTTGTCTTCTGCCAATCATAGGCACTAACTCCATGGATGCTCCAGGGCTCAAGCACCCACAGAAAAAAAATAGGGGGTGCTCAGCACCCACCAGCAACAGTGGTTCCGTGGCCCTGGAGCTGGCCGCAGATCAGCTGTTCAGTGGGCCCCAGGATGGCCAGCGGAGCAGCGAGCAGCTGGTGGGAGGCACTGGGAGGGGGCAGAGAGGAGCAAGCGTTGGGCAGCAGGGGCCTCGGGGGAGGGGGAAGAGGGGAGTAGGAAGAGGCAGAGCGCGGGTGGGACCTTGGGGGAAGAGGCTGAGCGGGAGTGGAGCCATGGAGTCGGGGTGGAGCACCCCCTGGGAAAAACAAAAGTCAGCACCTGTGCTGCCAATAAATTACATTTGTTCCTTGTAGCTTTTGTACATGCACCCCAGGGAG